ATGTATATATGTGTGTGTGTGTGTGTGCGCGCAGGTTTATGTGCGTGAATATATATATATATATATATATATATATATATATATGTATGTATGTATGTATGTATATACGCGTTATATTTATAATATCAATTAAATATGAAATTCATTCTTGTCCACATATTAGTTGACAATACCTGTATACTTCACCAAGAAAGTAATAAAGTGAAACTAGAAATTCTTGAAGTTATCTTTATTAAAACATTAAAGTTAATATTAAAACCAACACTTAATAAAATTAATTATGATTATAGTACAAATATTCTGAAAAGCTTATAGTACATAATTTATAAAAAATTATCTAAGTTACAACTAATAGCTTAAAAACAAATAGATTTTATCCTTCCTTAATAATCCAATTATTAAATAAGTTTACACTAAAATTATTAATTTGACGTCACGTGCATATTCATTATTGTATTAATTCAACCACAAAGAATTTCTCTTAATTAATTTTAAAATCAGTGTTTGTGTATTTGCGCATGACCGGAACTGTTAACGGTTTAACCACAAAAGCAAAAACTTGTTTTGGATAAACACAACGATTTGTCTTAAAGCCATGATGATATTGGAAAATATCGAAAGTAAATTGTTTAATAAGACATATATATATATATATATATATATATATATATATATATATATATATATATATATATATATATATATATATATAGTCAATGTATCTAATAGTTAAATGTATCTAATAATAGTCAATGTATCTAATAGTCAATGAGTCTAATAGTTAAAATTTGACGGCTAAATTTAAGTAATTTTGCAAGTGATTTGCTTATATTTACTGTATTAGTAATCTAGGATATTTTTATGTATACAATCAAACCTATTGTCTAATGTAAAGAAAGCCTTTTACTTTTTAACTGATTGAAAGTAAATCTATTTAAAAAAATCTAGACAGAAATAAAAGAAATTGTTAATATATATCAAATTTGTGTTTTTTATATATATAGATATTTCATTATATGTAATTCATAAATTGTCTATGCATATTTAAACACTACGTTAAAATTCTTCTTAAATAAAAAATATTCGTATTTTTCTTGATGAGTACGTTTTGGATGCATGTTGCATTATATTATCTTTTTAGTTTTTTTGTTATTTTAGTTGGCCGAACAGCTTTCTATAACTGAGTAGTAAAGCACACCGGATCGAATGGTGGTTTCTCCTACAAAAGGGAAGCAGGTTCGATCTCTGACAGAGAGCAGATTTCTTTTTAAAGATTTTTCGAATGCGCAGGCCGGTAGAAGTAATACGATATAAATAAAATAAATGAGTGATTATTTTATTTTATTTATTTAAATTTAATATAACTGTGTATTGCCGTCGAGTCGGTATTATTAACATCTTATATGGTTGTTCCATATTTTTTATTTTAAATGGTTAATTTGTATACACTGGTTTCTTAAAGAAGCCTTTTAATTATCAACTACAAAATCTATGTTACAACTAGCTATACATTTGATTATCTCCCACCCGGCACTTAGCTTCTTATGGAAAATTGAACAACTTATATTTGTCATCAATGTTGCCACTCGCTTACAATTTCATATCTGCTAAAATGACCTTGTCTGAGATTCTATTTCAGGGTACATTATTATGCTACATTTAAATTCCTTTTTTTAAGGTTAATTTTGAATTTAGCGTCGGTCTGATACCTAATTGGTTAATCAAGCCTTATTTTAATTCTGATTTTGTTTTCTCTTTTGAAAAAAGACGAGGTATTTTGAAATTAAAATTAATCATCTACGCCTGAAGAGGAACAAGAATAAATGAAAGAAATAGGCAAAAACAAGTAAAATAAATTATTCTAAACAAAATAAGTAAATAAACTAAGTAAATAATAGACAAATTAACAAATCACGCCCACCAAAATAACCGTTTGAATAATACAGTAGACTACCTACAATGCAATAGACTACCCACGATGCATCACTGATCTGTACATATAAAAATCGAGCAAAGCACGTGGTCTGACGATTGCGTTTAGCATGAAACAGACTGTCGCCTCTCGGTGCTGACTTCAATGTCCACTTCATATATATATATATATATATATATATATATATATATATATATATGCACGCACACAATAGGCAGGAGAGTTTCTCTATAGTGGTTAAATGAGAGCAGTTTCGTTTTGGTGGCATTAAAATTTACAAGTCATTTCCTGTCCCAACTAATCACTGATTGAAGATCTTTTTCAAGAGCAGCGGCCAGGTTAACATTGTCAACTCTAATGGATCTGCTATCGAAACAGAAGTAAATAGTGTAGGTACTCAGTGCTTTGAATTGATTGAATAGAGGAGAGATTGAGAGGTTGATGTTGTTCAGCACACTCTTGCAGAGCCGCCAGTAATCTCTAGAACCGGACTTGTGAGAGGCTATACGTTGTCTCATTTTATCAGCAAACAGTAACTTCGCTTTACTCATTACAAGCGGAGACAAAGAGACGTCTGTTGCAATCAGACGTGTCGCTCTGGTACAACCGAAAGAAGTAATGCAGGTGAGAACCAAGGACATAAATGGGGTTTAACTTGGTATTTCCTTGCTGGAATAAAAACATCGATGCCGGCTTTTACCCAGATGAACAGGATGATTAAAACTGTATTCCAAGGGACATCACGAAGGAATTCACGAAACGAGTCCCAACGTTGATAACAGAAAGATATTCTGTTGGGAGGGTGTTCTTGTTTGGTGGGCGGGGTGGTTCAGAAAGTGATGTTTACAGACATTACTACATGATCAGAGTTGCCAAGTGAGCAGAACTGCAAAGTACGACATTAGTCCGGAATAGAGGTCAAAAAAAGAGATCTAGAAGAGAAGCGTGTTCATCAAGGTTACTGGGGAAACACGTGGGGAAGTCCATCATTTGCGTGAGAGATTGACTGATTGAGAAGTTAAGGGTTTGGATACCAGCGGAGCCAGTGACAGAGTGTTTAAGCCAGCTAGCACGGTGGGCATTAAAGTCACCGAACACAAATATATTTGCAGACGGGTATAGGGAAAGAGCCGAGTCTATATTATCAGAAAGACTATCTAGCATGCAACAGTCATGAGAGAAAGGGGGGAAAGTAGAAAAGATAGCTGACTGAGTTAAGTAGAGACAGACAGAGAGACATGTAAGAATGGTGTGGTGATTCAAGAGAGATTTCCATAGCCAACGGATGATGTTCATGCACATAAACTCCCAGGCTATACATGTGCATATTATAGTTCTTACTAAGAAGAAGATAGCCAGAAGTTGGTATGGATACCACGAATGTTGGACAAAGGAAGATTGAGGGGTTTAGGTGATTTTTGTTTGGCTGGTTTAGATTTATATCTTTGGTATCTTATAGTCATGGTGTGTTGTTTTGGTAAAGAAAGGTTCAGAGTAGTAGTAGCAGTCGGTCGTCTAATGTAACATGTGCAAGAAGGAAACTGGCGCAGACAGCAACATAGTGTGGCCTAGTGGTTGCCCACCGCAGGTGCTTGCAGTGACACCCTTCTATGCGCGACATGGCAATGAAAGAACCCCGATATTATGCAGCTCTTGGTCAAAGCAGCCTCTCAAGACGTTACGTAAGAGTTTGGGCTCCTAACTACCAGTTGGGAACAGCAACAAGAAAAACTGCCAACCTGGTACTCAGCATGGAAAGACCCTGCCACCGCCCTCACATATCACAAAATATTAATGACAGAACCACTCTTTAGGCCCGAGAAAAAGAAAGAAACCGGGAACCCTTTCTTAAACAGGAAACAAGATATGAGCCTCTACTCCTGTTCAAGAGAAAGGGGAGGAGTATGGATCGGGCGATAGTAAAGTCTATCTACTCCTATTTAAAAAAGACAAAAACAAAAAACACAAACAAAACAGGCGAAACAAACAAAAAATGCAGAAACAAAAAATAAAAACAATTAAAAAACAAAAACAACCAAACAAAAATCCGTCCTGGTTCTGATTTCCGATCTGTAGAGTCAATCAGCGGCCATAGAACATAGAGGAGGTTATAGAAATGGGGTAACAAAATTGTTAAACCTCACACTGCTCAGTGTGGTAGTGTAGCAGTGAACTTGACACGTTATGGACAGAGCAGACTGACATCGTTACAATGGTGCTTTGATACAATTACGGCAACTTTGAGGTGATTTTTTTTCCATGGCCGAAAGCATACAACTATCTCACACTTGGGACCGGAAGTAATGGTCGGGTGGAGGAGGATTGTTTTACTTAAACCACTTTTCTTTCGGCCTCTATCAACGGAATTCGAGTTCTTCCCATATACCAAGAAAAAATCAATCAAGCACAAACGAGTGGCACGAGAATTGAAATATACATACATACATACATATATATATATATATATATATATATATATATATATATATATATATATATATATATATATATATATATATATATATAAATCCATGAAGACAGGGAAGAAAAAATAAAATAAAATTCGGGAATAGGATGATATAGAAAAATGATACCCCCCAAAAAAAAAAAAACAAGTAGCCAACAAAGAACGTAGGTGTGTAATATTAGTCTGGTAAAAGTCACAATTAGTATCGAATTCGCTGTACGTATTTGTTCGCTAAGCTTGTCTCAGAATGGTACAAGAATGCAAAATTAGGGAAACCATCTACCATCGTTATTTTCTCAGTTTGTTATCTCGCTAAAAATTAACTTCCGATAAATAGTTTTTTACACAACATTAAGCATTTTCTGCCTACTGTTGGCTTCAGGCCTGCCCTGAAATTTTAGAACATAGAGAGTAACTTCGGCCCGTAACGAAATTGTCAAAGGGCTTAAATTTAGTTTCCTTTTCCTAGACTGGTTCTCTACCCTAGTATATATTTGGAGATGGAGACAAGGAGAAAAGGTATATTCAGGCAAAGGCCTGAATATACCTTTTGACTTGAACGTATATACCTGGGGTTGAAGTCAACCAGTTTCATTTTCCATGTCGACAACAATTACGTTGCATGCACATACACTATCTATCTATCTATCTATCTATCTATCTATCTATCTATCTATCTATCTATCTATCTGCACAAGTTAGACCTTTATCTATCGGACTTTCAATGCCTTGCATACAGAGTTGATTCATCCGTCTCCCCTTCGTGTTCCATCGATAAAGTTCCAATCAGACAACATCTCCTTCAGAACTATTATTTGGTGGAACAGTTTCCTTGATCGCTACAATCTTAAACATTTAAAGTTTAGGGTAAACCGTTATCTATCATACATGTCCTCATAATGTGCACTTCTTACTTCCTCAATTTACGCAACAGCCTCATTCAGTAATCCTGTACTCTGAGTGGCTCTTGGGCCTTGTATTGGGCGAATGATAATATATATAAAAATATCTATCTATTTATCCATCTGACTGTGCTTACCATACGTCCTGATTTGGCCAAGAATACCATTTTGAAGATTCTGTTCTGATTATATAAACTTACTGTACAGCGGCATATCAATTCTTTAATGGGTCATTTAATGTCGAATTTTAATTTTCTTGGGGGCATTAGTAATTTCTTTTACAAAAATGTATTGCTCGTAGTATGTTTGTTTATTTACAAAAAAATATTGCTGGTAATTTTTTTACTATGAAAATGTTTTGCTGGTATTTTTACCATAAAATAAGTATTTTTAATACATTCATAGTGTTTTGACCCCAATTTGTGGGTTACCTATTTGCTGGAACCGTAACAGGTGCTACCACCACGGTTCAGGGTGAACCTGGGAACAACAAGAGGTGGGTTCCATACTCCTCGAAAACTCTCTGCCTGATGTAGTTTATCGTCATACTCAGGACGATTCTGTAGTTGTATTTGTAAGTGTGCTGTTGTTGGTTAATGTAAACACTTTATATTATGTAAGAAAACTGAACCTATAATAAAAACTGAAACTGTCCCTGGTTTGAGGCTTGGAAAACATGGTGTGCGCATGCGGGACTATGCGAACAATGGAAAAGAACGGAGAATAAGAGGAAAGAAGCCAAAAAAAAAAAGAAAGGTAAATAAGATAGAAAGATCGAGTGTAAGACAAAAAAAAAAGAAAAGAAATAAGAGTTCAAGTTAAAGTTAAAAGAAATAAAGAAAAAAGAAAGAAAAAAAGATGTTCAGAGAATGTTTATCGAAATAAAAAAACGGAACCAGAATCGAAAGTAAAAAGTGAAAAAGAATATTTTGGTGAGGTGGCCCAACATTAACTCACAAATTTTCAAGATCATCATGAATATTCACGAAGAAAGCTCCGGTTTGGAAGAAGCCTACGACCAAAAGATTTTGTCATCGCATCATTCCTTGTCTTCAGCTCAGATTTTGTTTTATAGTGGGTGCGGGAGTATTTTCCTCACTTGAAGCTAACATGAATAATTTTATGCAACAACTCTTTCTTATTTGCAAGAACTTTCTTAGTTCAAATTGGTTTTATTTCAAAATAAAGTTCAAACTGCGTATAGATTTCGGCTTTATATATATATATATATATATATATATATATATATATATATATATAAAAAATGGGAAATCAGCCGTTTCCGCTACATTGGTTTCAATATTTCAGTATTATCAGACGATTTTGGTCAATTGAATATATATATATATATATATATATATATATATATATATATATATATATATATATGAATTTAAAAATTATAATGCGTTTTATATTAAAACAACTGATACATCGATGATGCTTGATTGATATATCACACAATACTATTATTTTCTCTTGTAAATAAACGAAACAATATTGAACATAAAATTTAATTTACTTATGAAACAGAAACAAACAACAAATTACCGTTTCTCGATGTTATATTAAACCACATTGATAATGATCTCAAATCCACATGATGAAAAATTGAAAATATCTTTAAACTTCTTGAGTATACTTATTATTTTATAAATTACAACAAAATGTAATGCTTACTTTTACAAGCTTTCTACAAAAACAAAATAGAAAATAAGAAAAAATAACAAAAAGTCAAAAAAGAAATAGCAAAAAACCAAAAAAACAAAAACAAAAAGAAAATAACGCATATAATCTTAACATGAAAGCTAAACATGAAATAGTATGTACCAGCTCTGTACGACTATAAGTGAAAAGAATTTGACCAATCCAAATCTATTACAACAACTTCAAAAATAATAAAGTTTTAAACGCAAAACAAAGTTATAACGTTAAACCTTAAGTAGGAATATACAAAATAGGCTGCACACTGTCCCAAAAATACGTGAGTGCAACATCTAAGAATTTAGATTAAAAATTATATAGAAAAATCTAAAACAAAACAATACACTCATTACCTTTGTTGTTCGTCATAAATCTGACCATAATATCGACTTAAATTCTGATTAAAGTAGAAAAATATTTATTCAGATGACAATGTATTAAAAATGCAAATAATTTCAGATCCTTCTACAGCAAATTTATGTCTAGGATCACACAAAATATGTCTTGTTTTAATACAATGTATGATAATTATAAACAATAAAAAAGAAAAGAGATAAAAATTTACGATCATCCCCATCTTTGTTGTCATATTCACGATGTTTTGGCCATTATAGATGAGGTTGAAATAATAGATAGAGAATATCACTGGAAAATGCGATAACTTAAGGAATCAGCACATATGTTAGGCCACAAAAATCTCCTAAACCGGCCAAACAGAGAAATAAATATAATATGGAAACCAGTAATACGGGGTGCAAGGGAAAAGCAATAATAACAACGAAATTGCAATATGAGCTCTAGTAAATATGATTACTGTGACATTAAGTTTATAAGTCTCAAAAATTCACACACTGATCAAGGACACATGGCCCAGTGGATAAAAGCTTTGGTTGGATCCAATGACTTGACCCAAAGACTTCAATACCTGGCTACTGCAGGGGTGAACAAATCTTTGAGAGTTGAGTTAAAGGGAGATAACGGAGACATTCGAAAGAGGTATGGCATGTGGAACTAGAATAATCTACTCCGGTCGACGAAATAAATTGTTCAGTTCGAAATTCCATTCATCTGAAGAAGGCCGAGGCTTAAAATGGCCGAAACCTTGTGAATATGGTAAGAAAGATGAGGACGACAGTCTGAACAATGTAAATAGTGTAAATAATTACAATACCTCATCTCAGAAATATAGACAGAGATGAAAATCTAAATTTGATAGTGTCAGATTAAAATTTAGAAAAAAATCTACCATTAAAATTTGAATGTTGGGCGTCTCTATATTTATATATACAGGGTGATTGAAAAGTAACTCCCTATTTTATGTGTGATGGACTCTCCCGTCTAACTATAACTTTTATAAGACGGAAGAGTCCATCATACATGAAATAGGATAGTTACTTTTCCATCACCCTGTATATTATAGCCAATCATTGTTACAGATACCTGATCAGGAACATTTGTTTTTGTTCAACACCCACGGAGCCCACATAGGATTTATACTGTAACTATGCTGAGCGGACCATAGTTACAATTTCTGGGAGAGAGCGCGAAATTTATCATGATCAGCAGTTTGAACAACGATCATGATGACTCATGCTAGCAGAATATCGAACAGTTCCGTCTACCCAAATTCATTCACAAGGCTTGGATCAACTTGGAAAGTGAGCGTTCTAACTATTCAATGCATAAATATAATATTTTCAAATATGCCTGCATATAGAGAGAGGTTGGAGACAAAATTACGATGGAGAGAGACGGATGTGTTGGCTAGATAGTAGGAGACAATGAGGAATATATTGTAAAAATTACGACACAGTGAAACTTTTTGTGGTAAGAGAAAGAAAGAAAAAGTAGAAATGAAAAATAAAAGAGAAAATATTCATGGATCCCTTATTACTTATTTATATATAAAACTGATTCATGTTTGTATAATATTTTAATATGGTCGGGTAACTAGGTTTCTAAGGGATTAGGAAAAGAATGAGAAGATACAGGCAAACAGTAAGAAAAGAGTAGAGATAATGGATAATTCTAATAGTCAACACTCGTGCAATTACGACGAATCTATGTATACTCCACTCACTTCGGAGATTGTTTTCTCGTTAGCAAATTTCGAGGCTAAAATTGAATTTAATATTTAAGGTGTCTAATTTCTATGATGAAAAATTGCCATTATTTGCGTTCAGTTTAACGTTTCATTTTTGTTGTTGTTGATAACAACATTTCAGCCGTTGTGCCCTCCGGCCTTCTTTAGATGTTCACCGATCTGTGTAACCATCAAGAAATTTCAAACTGAAATTTTTATTTAATCTACGGGGAGAGAGTGTTCTCGTTCCGCTGTCTATGTCTAGGGATATCTCATCTTGTTCTCATTTAGAACTACCCCAGTTATTGATCGCGCAGTTTCCACTGAAGTAATTGTTCCAGCAATTGAACTAATAATTATTATATCACCAAATACACAAACCAATGTTATTCTTCCGAATGTAAATAAGTAAATAAAGTGTTTCGTCTACTAATTTATTGTTAAATGTCACCACACGGCTAATGATTTTTATTCTAATTTACTTTTTATTCTAATATAGTTTGAAATCTAGTAGAGGTGTAAATAGATAGTAAGTGTCTAGAAGCAAAATCGGAGCTGTCATGTCTACACGAAAAAGAAAATCGTGAGTGAAATCAGTCATTTGTTGACTTCAAAAGATTAACTCAGATAAACATGATGGAAATTTAGTCAATTCCTATTCTTTCTTGGAATGTAACGATGGCGATTGGTCATCAGATGAAAGTGTTGCGCTTGTGTGCGGATAACGACGATACATTGATAACGAGCAAAGGAGTTGCCTATCTTTTTAGAAGAAAAAACAAGGTATATGTTGGTAATTCACTGACTATATTTTGGGCTAAAATATCTGGAAAATTAAGGTATGTGATATAATAAATATATGTAAATAGGAGTCTAATAATTTTACAACTTTTATGTAATGATGTTATCTTCGAAAACGCGCTTGCAAAGAAAGATGCAATGAAAAATCAAACAAGGGAATGAGTATTTTAAAACCTATTGGTGAATTCTTGACTACTATAAATTCTC